CAGCAGCAAGATACACCTATCCCCTAGGCAAGAGGCCCAAAGGAGCACCAACTGACTCCCAGCATGTCCCAGTGGCAAGAAAACTACGGTTCTTGTATTGTAGAGTTAAACATAAAATAGTTTGCAAGACAAACAGCAATCTGCAATCACTAACACTAGTATAATGACTGTAGTAAATGGAATTGAGGTAACAGTTCCAGATACTCTTGAACTAGCAAACTCAGTAACACTGGCAGGTACAAATGCAGTAACACTGGTAGCCCACAGTATCTCTCAGTACGGAATATATCCTACAGACATGGTCTACTTTACTAGGTACTGTATCTGTAAGAGTGGTGGCTGACTGGCATGGTGGCAGCACAAGCAGGTCTTGAGAAGAACAAACAGAGCCAACAGTGAGTCTTCTGGCTGGTGGAAAGTGCTTGTCCCTAAGCTTTCCCTTCTAATGCAAGAACCTTTCCCTAAGGCTAAATCGCTGTCCCTAACAAGCGTGGTTCCTCTCTCTACTCTAGCTGCTCACAGAATGCGTGCCAAACCCCAGCACTGCACTTTTATTAACCACTTGCCCTCCAGAGGATTTACCCCCGTTCCTGACCAGGCCGTTTCTTGTGTTACGGCACTGTGTTACTTTAACTTACAATTGCAGGATCACATAACGCTGCACTAAAATGAAATTTATGTCCTTTTTTCCCACAAATTTCTTTTGGTGGTATTTGATTGCCTGTGCATTTTTTATGTTTTGCGGTATAAACAAAAAAAATTACAATGTTGAGAAAAAAACTATTTTTGACTTTTTGCTATTAAACATGTCCAATAAAAAAATTTTAAAAATCAAATTGCGTCATAAATTTAGGCTAAAATGTATTCTGCTACATGTTTTTGATAAAAAAAAATCCCAATACGTGTAAATTAATTGGTTTATGTGAAAGTTATAGTGTTTACAAATGGTGGTGTAGATACTGGAATTTTTTGTTTTTTACTAGTTAAGGCTGTGATCAGTGGGACTGCGGGACTGCGGCGGGCATTCTGGCACTGGAGGGGTCAACTGATTTGGTGTCACTGACATCCCAGTGACACCAATACAGAGATCAGTGCAAATAAAAAGCACTGACAATGTACTAATGGCACTGGGCAGGAAGGGGTTAACATGTGGGGCGATCAAAGGGTTAACTGTGTCTGTGTTCCACTGCAAGCACCCAGTGATTGATAGCCGAGGCGTTGAGTTCGCACGTGCCCCCTACCCGGAACTCCAAAATCACGTATATACTGTATACGCTGCTTTATTTTTGTTTATAACATACAGTTTTCTCCTTCTACAACCTTTTTTTTTGTATCAAATCTCCTGTAGCCTCTTTCAGCTACTATTTTCAAGCACTTGCTCCAGCATCAGCTTCATTACATTGCTCTTGACCGGCTTCTTACAAGTGACAATAATGAACTATGGCTGAGCAATGTGAGTGGGCACAGGTTCCTGGAGTCTCTACCAGGACCACATATGAAAGGGTGACAACACAGACAAACAATTGTGTCACCCCAAAAGTGTATGAACAAGGACCTTCATGAAAAGATCATAAGGTATTTTTTTTCATGAAAGCTATGTTTTTAAAAAGGGTAAATAACTCCCCTTAGCAGTGGGTTGCTAAGTTAGATTACATGCTGGGGGCCTGTAGGGTGTTTAATAGGACTCTGGGGCCACATGTCTGAAACTCCATTATAACACATATGTCCAGACCACAGGCCTACTAAGCTTTTACACTTTAAAAGGGGGTAACATGAAATAATAGTCCTTAAATTCCTGGTTGGGTATTACTGCTGTCATACTACCACCTGGCCTGAAAGGTCATGGGCACCTGGGGAGCAGGAGCATGGTTAACTAGGTTACCCAGCTACACTGCCTGGCAGACTGTCCTTTCTTCTCCCAACCCCCACCAGCCCCATTCCTTTCAGTCCTTACTCATCCCATAAAGTATAGGCCATAGACTGACCAGCAGTAAAGAAGAAACAGGTCCAAATTCTTCCATTTTCAGGTGCTTTACTGAAACATAATTGGAAGTATAACAGTTCATCATTTGCATGGTGATATCTGTTACCGAACAGAAGTGCCCATCTCTTTCCCACTGAACAGGGTATTCATTGACAGAGTTCTATTTCTCATTATGTTTAGTCCGCTTGAGAATAAACTTTCTCAGCGGAAGGCTGATACATGGAGCTGCTATATTATGGCACATAGGGCCCCAGGCTTTCCAGTGGGGGACCTAGAAGGGGTCTACCCAGGGGCGGACTAATAACTCATGGGGCCCCTGGGCAATAGGGGATCATAGGGCCCCTGTGTCCTTGCTCAAACTCAAAAAAGCCTATGAAAAAGGTACCAGGGGCATCTCATGGGGCCCCCTACTGACCCTAGGCCCTCGGGCAGTGCCCGAGTTTACAAATGGTCAGTCTGCCCCTGGGTACACCAAACTCCTTGCTTGTAGTACCATCTCACTAATTCAGCCAACCTCTAAACTCCCACCAGCTCTATATATATCCTGTTGCAGAGGACAAGAGGGATCCCTAGAGAAAACACAAACATGCAACTCACCCAAATTAATAGGCCGGAGTAGTCCAGAGAAACTACATTAACCATTTGGAATTTCCTTAACTGACACCCTGCTACACTTTAACATTTTAAAACATACATATATGAGATGTTAGTGATTGTATTTATAGTTTCTTTAATCTCTGCTATAATGCAAGGATAAATTCAATAGCTACATACTGTACATGTAGTGCTCCATGAACACTAAATGAGGAAGGTCACTCTCCTGTGCCAGAATAATTTCCATTACCTATGTTTTCTTGTGTGAAGCTATAAAATACAACATTGACTCAATCCCCACTGAGGTGCAACACTGCTTTTATGACAAAATGTCTTTAAACAGCAGGGTCGCTGCGCAGGCTGATGGAAATCATGCTTTTATAGAGCAGGTGGCTTTGTAATTGATAGAAATGCTTGCCATTATTGTGTTAATTAACTAGAGACATGTGAAGAAAGGAATTCACTGTTTTTCAAATAAATACTGTTGTTTTGCAGTAAAATGTATACAGGCTTTTGGATTGAAAATCTAATTCTTGGATGATAGTAATAATTATGTAGTTATATAGTTAGTCTGGCTGAAAAAAGACAAATGTCCATCCAGTTCAGCTATTAAAAAAAAAGTTATAATCCTATACCTACAGTTGATCCAGAGGAAGGCAAACACAACCCAGCAAAGCATGATCCAATTTGCTCCTGCAGGAAAAAAAATCCTTCCTGATCCCCCGAGAGGCAATCGGATATTCCCTGGATCAACTTTACCTATAAATGTTAGTAACCAATTATATTCTGTGTATCCAAGAAAGAATCCAGGCCTTTTTTAAAGCAATCCACTGAGCTGGCCAGAACCAACTCTTGAGGGAGTCTATTCCACATTTTCACAGCTCTCACTGTGAAGAAACCTTTCCGTGTTTGGAGATTACATTTTTTCTCCTCCAGACGTAAAGAGTGCCCCCTTGTCCTCTGTGATAAATCTGATATGGCTACATAGTGGAAACATACACACAGCTAAACATACATCAGAGCCAGGGCTTTTTCTTTGTGTGGAATTCAATGGTATTGTATACTGCCACCTCCAGCACTGGCCCTGTGCGCACTGACTTATCACTTGTAAACACAGAAGCCAGCAGAGGAAGATTCCTGCACTACTGCTTCCTCTGCTGGCTTCTGTGCTTACAATTGACAACTTGCCTCTTTGGGTAACTCAGGTGCATGACATTCCCTGCCCAACCTTGCAGCTGGGTCTTCCCTGCAACCCTCGCCTCCAGCCAGCACTGAGGTCTCCTCTGTACTAGCTGCTGCTCGCCAGGGCACATTTTCCTTATATATGGGCAGAGATCTACATGATGCCAGCAGGAGGGGATATTTGACAGATGACAATTGGGGTATGACTGCAATTGCTTTGATTAGTTTGGTGTGACCTCCCCTTCTTTATTTTTATTAAGTTCAATACAACATTCCAGTCCGGCATCATGCTTTATTTGGCTTAGCCATTGGAGACATACAGTCAGGGGCGTCCCTAGGGTTGGTGTCACCTGGTGCGTTAACACTTGGTGACACCCCCTCCGTCGATCCCCGCAGAATGGATCGGATCTGCGGATTGAGCATAATGGATCAGACTCCGATCCATTATGCTTCCCAATCCGAAGATCCGATCCATACTGCGGAGATCGTCGGCTTTCTTTACAACTTACCTTTTCGTGGAGCGGGTCTGATGTCACCCCGTATAGGTTGCATACCAACGATCCCCGCAGGATGGTTCGGATCTGTGGACTGAGCATAAATGATCGAAGTCCGATCCATTATGCTCCCCAATCCGCAGATCCTATCCATCCTGCGGTGATTGTCGGCTTGCTTTACAACTTACCTTTTCGTGGAGCGGGTCCAGTGTCACCCCATGCGGTCAGTGTCACCTGGTGCGGCGTGCACCCCCTGCACCTGCCTCGGGACGCCACTGCATACAGTACCTTATGGATGAAAATATGTGATGTCAACGCATTATGCCATCCTATCATTGACCCCTGGGTACACAATCCTTATTTAACCATATCTGCACATTTGTTCAAGTGGATTCTGAAGAAGCAAGCTGTATGTGAAACACATATGACTCTTTTAATACAGTAGATATGGCAACTTTATTGTTGATGATTTTACTCAAATTTTAATGTGAAAATAAAATTGTACATTTATGATGTCAGGGGTCAGCAACCAGTAGATCATGATTTACCAGTAGAACAATATTTTTGGCATTTGCTGTTAAACATGTCCAGTAAAAAAAATTTAAAGATCACATTTTGTCATAAATTTATGGCAAATGTATTCTGCTACATGTCTTTACTAAAAAAAAAAAAAAAATCCCAATAAATTAATTGGTTTATGTGAAAGTTATAGCATTTTCAAATGGCAGTATAGATACTGGAATTAATTTTTTTTACTAGTAATGGTGGCGATTAGCGACTTATAGCGGGACTGCGGCGGGCATTCTGACACTGGGGGGGAACGGACACCAATACAGTGATCAGTGCTAAAAAAAAAAAGCACTGACACTGTACTAATGGCACTGGGCAGGAAGAGGTTAACATGAGGGGCAATCAAAGGGTTAACGGTGTGCTGGGAGTGTTGTATTGGAGGGTAGTGTGTTTGTGCTTCCCTGTATCCACACTACACTGCCCTGTAAGCACACTGCTCTGGATGGCTGTGCTGTGCACAGCCATCCAGAGTGGTGTGCCCGAGCTGACAGGGAGGAGGACTGTTGTAAACAAAGCAGTACTCCCCCCTGTTGGAGATGCTTGGTAATCATTGAGGGGCTGGTGGGGACTCACCAGCTGGGACCAGGTGATTGACAGCCGTGGCTGCGAACAGCAGCTTGGGTAGATTGTGCACATATGTCATGCGCACCCCCTACCCAGAAATACAAAATCACGTATATATACTTGATTTTGTGCACCCCTGCCGCCTTGTAGGCAGTATATCTGCTATAGGGCGGTCAGGATATTGCTAACAAAGAAACAATGTGTACATAGGTTTAGAAGTACTGTAACTCTCTATAGGAATGTAGGTGGCGGCCAAGAAAATTTTGGCAATATCAGTACAGAAAACATTTGAAAACCTTGCTGAGCAGTCAGCTAAAACGTGACATTCAATTCCCCTTGACTGGAGCAGCTTACGTCTTGTAATAGAAATGGGCAAGAAGGAGGGAGGTTTGGGAAGGAAAGTGAGACAGTGAAAAAAATAAGAGGGAGAAAATGGGAAAGATGAAGGGTGAAAAAAACTGCAAAAGCTCCAACTCATACATATATAAAAGGTCTGCACAAAAATCAGGAGGAAGGAAGTATGTGCCATATACCATGTCACCAAGTATTTGTCCATTTGCTCAGAGATCCAAGCTTCAATTTTCTTGTGTATCATGACCTAGAACAGCTCTAAATTTGGAAAAAGTAAATGTTTTCCATGTCTTACTAATATGAAGGGTCTTTTTTTAATTGTGTATTGTATTAGAACCTAATTAAGTAAGTAAACTTTGAAAGTTGAGAGGAACGCTCCATGTTGGGTTACTAGACACATTTTTGTCTGTTAAATAATGTATGAAGCATTCCTCACTGCTTTGCAGGATCCTACTAAAATTTCTTTAATTGGATGATGCACCTAGTGTATTTTCTTGCAGCCCACACACATAATGGGGCTGATTTATGAGAACAGGGTGTGAAGGATTGGAGCAAGAGAAGCTGTTTCCATAGCTATCAGTCACATACACTACATATGCCAGTGCGAACAAAGAGATTCAAATAATGGCTAACAAATATATCCACACTTTATACAAATTTGTCTTTGTGAATCAGTATCAGCGTGAGATATAAAAGTGGAGTCTGAAAATAGCAATTTCAAAGCGAGAGAAAATAAGAAGAATTGACAGCCTATCGGATTAAAGCTTCTACTCAATTCTTATTTCACAAATAACAGAGGTCTAAAATTAAAAAATTTCAGCTTGATGGTATTTTTGACAAGTGATCTGATAGCTTCAGAAGTATATTCCGGCTCTATTAAACTGCCAATCAGGAACATAACAATGAAATAACAGCTTTAAAGCTGCAACGAGCAGATGCCCTTCTACAATTTTCATCCCAATAACCAGAGAAAAAAAGGACATCTTTCCTGCACATTCGCCTTGCTTTTAGGAGGCAGACTTAAATGACATTGTTTACTTAAAAGAAATATCTCACTCTATGCTCTTCCAGTTTTTCTATTTTCTTCACTTGAAGAAAATTGTTTTCCTCTATACCTGTGTAACCTACCAAATAATCCTTTAAAAAACCCTTTAAAATACTTTTGTTGATAAAATTCTCAGCCAGAGTGGCTGCTGTGACATTTATTGAAGAGACCCTGACACTTCAGAAACAAAGCAGCCTATAAAGATTAAAACGACACACTCTGTGGATCATTGGGGCAAGATTCTCAGAAAACTAAAGAAGCAACTTGATTTCAAGTTCACAGAAAATGTAAATATGTTCTGTAATCTATGTATTCATGAAAAAAATTTTCATTTTTAAGCTGCAACTCCGTAATTACTTCCTACTTCCTATAGCCCACCAGCTGAAGTTTCAAATCAGGAGGCAATAAGATTATAAGGGTTCTTTTAGTTCTATAAATCTTCCAACAATAAAGAGCTTAACCACTTTCCCTCTGAGAATTTACCCCCCTTCCTGACCAGGCCATTTTTTGCATTACGGCACTACATTACTTTAACTGACAATTGCGCGGTCATGCAAAACTTCATCCAAATTAAATTTACATCCTTTTTTTCTCAAGAATTGAGCTTTCTTTGGTGGTATTTGTGCGTTTTTATTTTTTGCGCTATAAAAAAAGACAATTTTGAGAAAAAAACATTTTTGACTGTGTGCTATTTAACATGTCCAGTAAAAAAATTTAAAAGATCTAATTTCGTCATACATTTAGGCCAAAATGTATTCTGCTACATGTCTTTGCTAAAAAAAAATCCAATATGTGTAAATTAATTGGTTTACAAGTTATAGTGTTTAAAAATGCCAGTATATATACTGGAATTTTGAAAACATTTTTTTACTAGTAATGATGGCGATCAGCGACTACTGTGGTGGGCATTCTGACACTGGGGGAAACTGACATGGTGTCACTGACATCCCCAGTGGCACCAATACAGTGATTAGTGCTAAATAAAAACACTGACACTGTACTAATGGCACTGGGCAGGAAGGGGTTAACATTAAGGGTGATCAAAGGGTTAACTGTGTGCTGAGTGTGTTTTACTATGGGGCCATGTGTTTGTGCTTCACTGTAAGCACACTGCTTTGTATGGCTGTGCTGTGCACAGCCATGCAAAGCAGTGTGCATGAGCTGACAGGAAGGAGAACTGTTTTGTTTATAAACAGTTCTCCTCCCTGTCGGAGATCCTCGGCAATCACTGGGCACTGGTGAGTAATCACTGGCTGAGACCCGGTAATTGACAGTCGCAAATGGCGGTGTGCGCACGCCCTCTACCCGGAAATGTAAAATCACGTATATACACGTCAGTTTGCGCACCCGTGCCGCCCTGTAGCAGTATTTCTGCTATAGGGCAGACGGGAAACAGGTATAGTTCACAATCAACCAGTTTCTGGCCCTTGGTCTGGATTGTTTAAAGCTTTTTCATGTAATTTGAAAATACCGCTAGTCTTACTTAAAAAGTTTCCTGAAAAAACTGTTGCAGGTGAAAAGTGCATACCTGCAGAAGCCAACCTCTTGTGTTAAAGCCTAGTGCCAAGCTGTTTTGACAGTCAAAGCCATAGGCTTCGTTCACACCAGACATGCAGAAAAACTGATGGAAACTGACATGCAGATTTTACGTGCAGAGACATCAGTTTACTTCAGTTTTCATGCGCACCTCAATGAGTTTTTATATACTTTGCAGAAAAAATCTGCACGTGATACTAGTGTTGTGGTGTGAACAGGCCACATAGGGAACAAATGATTTTGCTTTGCCCCTGCAGAATGCATGCAGAAAAACTGACATCTCTACACCATGGTGTGAACGAGAGTAGTGATTAATGATTCATACTCTGAATGATCTAGGGTTGTCAATGGTGTACCCAGGGGCGGACTGACCATTTGGAAACTCGGACACTGCCTGAGGGCCCGGGGTCAGTAGGGGGCCCAATGAGATGCCCCTGGTACCTTTTTCATAGGCTTTTTTGAGTTTGGGCAAGGACACAGGGGCCTCATGATCCCCTATTGTCCGGGGCGCCATGAGTTGTCAGTCCGCCCCTGGCTGGGGAAATCTGTACATAGGGGTTGCGGTTTCTAAAGCGAGCAAAATCCTCATGTGTATTAAAAGAGGTATAGGCTCCAGAGAGAGATATCATATTACCCCTGTACAAATCATTAGAAAGACCTCATCTGGAATATGCAATTCAGTTTTGGGCAGCAATTCACAAAAAGAACATTGGGGAACTGGAGAAAGTACAGAGAGCGACAACCAAACTAATAAGAGGCATGGAGGAGCTCAGCTATGAGGAAAGATTAGAGGAACTGAATTTATTCTCTCTTGAGAAGAGGAGATTAAGGGGGGATATGATCAACATGAATAAATACATAAGTGGTACATATAGTGAACTCGGTGTAGAGTTACTCACCTTGATGTCATCACAGAGGATTCTTTACATCTGGAGAAAAAGAGATTTAATCTCCAAATACGGAAAGGTTTCTTCACAGTAAGAGCTGTAAAAATATGGAAGAGACTCCCTCAAGAGTTGGTTCTGGCCAGCTCAGTGGATTGCTTTAAAAAAGGGTTGGATTCTTTCCTAGATACACAGAATATAACTGGATATTAACTTTTATATGTAAAGTTGGTCCAAGGAAAATCTGATTGCCTCTTAGGGGATCAGGGAGGATTTTTTTTCCCCTGCAGGAGCAAATTGGATTGTGCTTTGCTGGGGGTTTTTTTGCCTTCCTCTGGATCAACTGTGGGTGTAGGATTATAATTTTTTTTCTTCCCTTTTATGGTTGAACTAGGTGAACTTGTGTCTTTTTTCAGATAGACTAGCTATGTAACTACGTAAATATGTAAAGCGCCTTAAACACGTCCCTAGTTTTAAGGCATGGCTTGTCCTTCCTGCCTCCTGCACATTCCTATTGGCCAGCAAAAGCCATAGAGATCAGCCAATATGAATGTGGGGGTCTTAGCAGCAAGTGACTACACTGCCCTGAAGTTTTGGAGCTTTTTCTTGTCAGAAGGCTTCAGCCATGACCGGGAAGTTTGCAGTTATGTTCTGGCATCTAGAGTCAGGGCTGTATTTATCATAATGGCACTGGTATGCAAGTGCCTAAGAAAGCAGAGTTAGAGGAGGCAGCACCAAGCTTCAACTTTTACAGACTAGGGTAATGTTTTTCTTATTTTGCTCCCCTCTTTTACCCACCTGTAGGGGTGAGTGTTAATGGTTCACTGCTACGATGCTGCATATACAGTTTCTTTTCCATTATGTGATCAAATAGTACACTTGTGAGAAATAGCATTGTCTGTATCTCAAGGGTAGGATCTGAGTTCCTAAAAAAAGGTGTCCCTTCATGTATTATATTTAAACATTTCATTTTTATATAAGTCAGGTGCAGTACAAAAGACACCTGTCAGCAGGATTTTTTAGTATCAGATACAATGTAGGTTAGACATAAGAACTGCTGACCCTTTTCAGCTACAAGTAACTGGCTTCTAGCTCCTTTTATCTGATGCTCCTTCTTTATAGTATTTATGTAGTTTGCATTGTTTATAAGGTTAAAAACAGACACAGGTCTATCCTATTCTTCCTATGTGTATGTGATTTTTATTCTCTAACATTCCTCTAATTTTAAATTTCTGTTTCATATTCTTATCCTGACTAGTAGCCATCAGTTGTTGTTTTTTTTAAATTTTGGCATGCCTCTTGTACAACTTTTTTCATGTTCTGTATACCTTGTTTGTGGCAGGTTCATTGCTATCCATTCTGAGAGGGGTGTGCCTGCAACACTTCCCCATATGTTATCTGTAATGCAGGGTGAGGCGTTGCTGATGATGGACTGGCTAGTTACCTGCTTGAGCGCTCTGGTTGCAATGAACCTACTCCTACTCTGTGAGGTCCTGCTATCACTAGTAAGCTGTTGCACTTCAGAACCCAACTAGTATCACAATTAACAGGAAAACAAAATAATGCCATACTGTATATTTATTTTTTTCAGGTACTTCTATAGCGCCATCAATTTATGCAGTGCTTTACATATATATATTGTACATTCACATCAGTCCCTAACCCTCAAGGGGCGTACTATCTAAGGTCCCTAACCTACATTCATACATACATACTAGGGCCAATTTAGACAGGATCCAAATAACCTACCAAGCATGTCTTTGAAGTGTGGGAGGAAACCAGAGTACCTGGAGGAAACCCATGCAGGTACAGGGAGAACATGCAAACTCCAAGCAGGTGGTGCTGTGGTTGGGATACAAACCAACAACCCTAGTACTGCCAGGTGGAAATGCTAACTATTTAGCCACTGTGCTGCCCCAGTATATTATATTTTCCCTGGCAGCTGAGTCCCTGTAAGTCCACAGGAACCTAGGTAGCAAGTGATCAAATGTGGTTTTGGACTGCAATCCTTAAACAGAAAGGTTGCCCTGGCTGGTAGATAGGGTTAGCACACTATGCTGTTATAACCATACCTATATGGGTCAGCAGTGTGCTGTTTGCTAAAGGTGAACGCACCCTTTAAAGGCTGCCTGGGTAGATGCCTAGTTACATAGTTAATCTGGCTGAAAAAAGACAAAAGTGCATCCAGTTCAACCATAAAAAAAAGTTATAATCCTACACCCACAGTTGATCCAGAGGAAGGCAAAAAACCCAGCAAAGAATGATCCAATTTGCTCCTGCAGGGAAAAAAAAATCCTTCCTGATCCCCCGAGAGGCAATCGGATATTCCCTGGATCAACTTTACCTATAAATGTTAGTATCCAGTTATATTCTGTGTATCTAAGAAATAATCCAGGCCTTTTTTAAAGCAATCCACTGAGCTGGCCAGAACCAACTCTTGAGGGAGTCTATTCCACATTTTCACAGCTCTCACTGTAAAGAAACCTTTCCGTGTTTGGAGATTAAATTTCTTTTCGTAAAAAAGGTTATTCCCTGGATCAACTTTATCTGTAAATGTTAGTAACCAGTTACACAGAATATAACTGGTTACTAACAGTCCACATTTGACCACTTGCCGCAGGGTCACAGTATATTTACTGTGCCCGAGCAGCAGTTGTAGGCTCAGCAAAATAAATAAACTCTGCAAGCTTGCTTCCGGGTCTGGGGCATGCATGAGTACGCCTGCTGCTGACCCGCACTGTGGTTTGACATGTCGCAATTTTGTCAGCAGGCTAATGATTTATGGCCGAGACCTGCTGATTGTCTGTGTCAAGTCTGTGTCCAATCACAGCACAGAGTCCTGTGTTTACAAACAACACAGGGCTCTGCACACAGCAGCGATCTGGCTGTTTTTTCTCCATGAAAAGCAGGGAGAAAAAACAACTAGATCTGTAAGTAAAAGCAACACATATTACACACATTACATATTGTTAAGCACACAGTTAACCCTTTGATTATCCCGAGATGTTAACCCCATTCCCAGCCAGTGTCAGTACTGTGACAGCGTACAAAATTATACCTGATCACTGTATTAGTGCCACTACTGTAGTCAGTGTCAGTTAGTGTATCTCCCAACCAGCATTATCTAGTGCCAGATTGCCCACCACACTATCAAAGTCCCATTATAAGCTGCTAATCATCACCATTATCAGTATAGCTTCATAACTGCATACATTCCAGAACATATACCATAGTTTGTAGATGCTATAACTCCCACACAAACCAATGAATATACATTTATTGAGGGGTTTTTTTTGGCCTACATTTATGAAGAAATTAGATTTTTATTATTGGATATGTTTTATAACAGAAAGTAGAAAATTTTCGGTTTTTTTCGAAATGTTTGTTTTTCATAAATTTCTGTCCCACTGCTCTGGTCACATATCAAAGCTGATGCTACTGCTGCATGTGAGGTATGTGAGTGGATAATGGGGGATGGGTTCAATATTGGAGGGGAGAGACTGGGTCTGTACTGGAGGGAATGGTTATACTGAGAAGGTGTCCGTTCTGAAAAGGGGCTGAGTGAGGGGGTCTGTATTAAAAGTGTGGGCTGTGAGTGGTGCCTGAGCTGGGGACAGGGGCGGACTGACCATTTGGAAACTCGGGCACTGTCTGAGGGCCTGGGGTCAGTAGGGGGCCCCATGAGATGCCCCTGGTACCCCATGAGATGCCCCTGGTTTTTCATAGGCTTTTTTGAGTTTGGGCAAGGACACAGGGGCCCCATAATCCCTTATTGCCCGGGGGCCC